AGCTTGGACGATAACGCGTACGACGGGAACATACATGCCGCAGGACTATGGGCAAGATCATGATTCGCAAATATATAATATAGATACTATTGTCACGGTAGTTTGATTCTTTCGTTATGTAAATTGTTCCTCACATATGCTTTCCAAAGGAAGCGCGATGAGATAATAAATCTGCTAATCCAGTTATTTAAATCATCAAAACTCAATAAGCTCGATAAAAATCATGGAGCTACGAGGACTATTAGCACGTTGATTTAGATGCAATATATATGTTAAACAAATTATTCATAAATTTTCCTTTGCAGATATTACATCCGAAATTTCTGTGAAGCGAGGGGCACATTCTTTAAATAGCGTGGCTCTGGAAATTTTATCAGTGGGATCATAAAACAAAGTCATATCACGAACATAAGCAGTGTCGTTATCGTGGCATATTATTAAATTGCTTCTCTGCCCTTTATACTAAACGTAAAGTTACAGATAATTGCATATAAAAATGAAATTAAGTTACGTTCTAGTGGAAATCCGTAGAATAAGGAAAATTTTTATTTTGCAAAATATCAAATATTAGTCGCTGCTCCCAGTTAATAAAAGACGAAGCAGATATCTGACGTATATTTTGTTATATAGAAATATTTGTTTCATAAATCGGAATTCAACTCCAAAATGTCAAGCAATTCGCAAGGTAAGTTACGATTGCCAGAAATTCCGAGCTGAACAGACGTAAGTAATATTTATAATCAACCACTATTAATTACTCTGTTTGCTACTCCAGTTAGTAAATTATCAAAAAAAACTTACTCGCTTAAAGCGAGACTACTTCTCGAGTTACTAAAAGCAGATTTCATGCTAATATGCCTCCTGGATTTCGTAATTGGGCTTTGTCAGATAAATTCTGTTACGTAGCAGGTGACGACAATGACTTGTGTAATGGTAACAGTGAAGCAAGCTTAAGTAAGCTTATAGAGAGTAAAGGAAAGAGGGATGAGGCGAGGGAAAGCGAAGGAGAGAGGGAGAGAATCCAATGCGACAATTACGTCGAGTATAATTGTAATGACATTTGGAGTGTGAGACGTTAAATATCCCAGTCGCGTGTGAAACAGTAGAGTCTTCCCGGATGTATAATTAGTCCCCGGATTTACTTGGCGCAGAACGATTTTCGTAAAGGGAACGATATCGCCCTAAACGCTAGCAAACGCATGTAGAAAGTCCAATATATTTTCGGTAAAATCTCTGTCTTCGCCCTCCGTGCCTTCCGCGCGCCAAAATATCTCCTCCTCGGCTCCCTCACAATCGGAAATCAATAGCAACGCCACCGTAACAAACTTATTGTTTTCAGACACCCCTCAAAAACGCATCCGAAAATTCCGTATCCTCGTTCTGAGGTATAAGCAGAAAGAAGACCGTGTGATTTGTCATTTGTCAGAATACAATATCGCTGATCAATCAAGTGCGCCATTTGTCCCATTCACAACTGCCTGGCGCACGCCGCGTGGAAAAAAAATGACTTCGTTTCCGTTCGAATAGAGAAGAATTCCTGTGCCGAAAGGAAACCTTATCACGCCGATTTTTTCCGAAGCTTTCACATTAGCGAACAAACCTACCACGTTGCAACGTGGAAGGTTACTTTTTTCCGATAAGAAATGCTGCCGCGTTAAAGTTAATGATTTATGACTTGTGTCATTTTCCTACCGTGCACCTTTAAAGCTGCAAATGTTATATAGCAGAGCTATAAATTTTAGATTACAAGGAAGAAATAATTATCGTCGGCAAGGGACACGATTGCATCTTGAAATAAATGAGCGGAAATATTATTAATATATAAAATAACTATATACTCATAAATATATAAACGCGAATGAAAAGTGACGGAGCATTAGAGTTGGAACGGGAATTTAAAAAAAAAAGTGTATAACAGAACTGTTGCGTCCGCGCGCGAAAGAATGTGACTCGGAAAATATCAGTTCCTTAAAACTGACGTTGTAAGTTTCCAGGACGTAATGTAGAAAGGCACAAGGGGAATGAAGGGGCACGCAATAATGTACTCTCTCGTGCCTCGCTCCGGGAAAATTTACAGTAACCGTTCGTGTTATTTCCGCGGTAGTTTTTCGTGGAAGAGCACTATCGCGCGAGAGGACGATGGAGAAAGGAGACCAGATATTCGTGAGGCGAGAACGTACAAACGTCTCGATAGTGCGCAAGTTTTTACGGCAGAAATTCACAACAGATACGTGTCATACAGTACTGTTTTTACTTGAACTTATGGGGGAGGAAGGGGCGGTAGATTTCGACTTTTCTATAATTGTTGGAGAAAATAACTGAATAAAATGGCGTAATTGCAAGGCGTTCATTATTGCGACACTTACAACTTCGCAATTATTTTATACGATACAAAAATCTCGAGATATTTTCTAACATCGCGCTCAATTAAAATATAAATAGGAAATACAGATTCAGCGTAACAATTTGAATGTAATGACTAGCGTAAAAACGCATTTTATGAATTTCATACATCGTACCCTCTTGTACGCGTTGAAGTAAAACACAAAATGTCAATCTATAAAATCAAAATCCGATTACGTTACATCTAATTATTTTATTACGAAAAATCGATTTACTCAATATTCATTTAACGTGAATTTATGCAAAGTTGCACACAGAGTCATTGAAACATAGTGCATTAAAAATCATCGTGCAATAAAATCGATCGTACAATAAAGGCGTACAGGAATTTGAGAAGGTACATCGCAATTGGATAAACGGGATAAATTTTCCTGCGACTTATATTCCGCGTTGCCTGCAAGGCGGGGGATTTCGTGTCGCTCGCGACGATTCTGGATATCGATCCATTAAGCCCAATGCAATTAACAACCATGGCGGAATAACGCGCAGCGCGACGTCGACGCACAAAGGAAGGCGTGGCAATGTTCGCCGAAACCCTTAATGCCAATGCCAATGTCAGGGTTTTCCCGGTCAATCACCTAAACATTCCCTACCTTCGCATCCCGTAAGCTCTACGCACCCGTCATTAGCGGCTTCGCTAATTCTCGCAGTCAAGCAGCCTCGTTTCTCCCATCATCGTCTGGCGATAACTTTTCCACTCACGGTATTACGCTTAACTGACCGAATGCAAAAGACAGGGGAGCATTTTACCCCTGCAGCAGGCACTTGAGTCGAACCTCGGGGGTTGAAATATCGACTGCACGGCTGTGACAGAACGCGAGGTTACCGACGTTGGAGCTTTTAGCTCGCTCTGCCGCTTTTACCGTTCGCCCGATCGTGCGAAACGACGACGAGAAACTATACGGTAGTGGCACCAAATATCGCCTACCCTATTTTTTTTATCCCTGTGGCCACGAAAATGGTCGAAAAAAGTTCTGATAGAGCTTAAAATGACGGACAGACACCACTTTACTTGTCACCAACTGGAAAATGTTGTAAGCGTTTGCCAACTTACTTTCTTTCGCAAATTTTGTAACGAAATGGAAAGTGCCATTTTTCGAAGCGCGTTCCTAATATGGCCTACTTGTGAGCTTAATATTAAATTAATTGTTAATACTTGACTGACATTGCGTTTTGACGTTTAATTGTAATACCACACTGAAAAAAATTTCTGGTTGAATATGGACGAATCAGATAATTCCTTTAGGATTTACCAGAATTCCTGTAATCCTACAGAAATTCTAGTAAATCCTAAAGGAATTATCTGATTCGTCCATATTCAACCAGAAATTTTTTTCAGTGCATCATTCGATTCTCTGATTCATACTCTCTAACGTGGTACTCTTGGATTTGGAAAAAACAACAAGCAGTAATACAACTGCACTATTTCCCATAAGCCCCTGTCACTAGATCAGCCGACGTCATTTTACAAAAGTGTCATTATGGTTGCAACTATATTAAAAATACCGTGTTGCTCATAAAATAAACTAATTATCCTTCTTTACACACAATTCTGCCCACAGTTAACAGATATCAATATTGGTTTCGCCGAAACGGCGTTGGGCGATATTGGGTACATACGCGGATAGAAAAATGTAGCTGCCGTAGCTAAAAACTACATGCGGCAACCAAATTTCAGTTGCAAAATATGGACGGCTAATATTTGGTTGTGATAGCTAAATATTTTGCTGCTGTGCCCATTGTATTAGGCGCGACAGCAAACCGTTTGCTGTGCTTTAGAAATCTGTAGTTGTGGCAACCAAATATTTTTAGCAAACCACGATTAGCCACAGTAGAAAAATTTTTTTTTCAGTGTAGGCGATAGATGCCACTACCCTTGTAATAAGTATAAATTTCACAAAGTCCGTTTAAGGAGACTAGCAACTAATAATAGCCAAATAAAATGTCTAAGACAAAGTGTGCGAGCCACCCAAGAAGTTGAAAACAACAAAGCAGCGTATGAATCCAAGAGGTCTTTGATATTTTAATTTCGTGACTGCTGCAATACGGTCTTTGTTATCATAAAGATAAAACATAAAGATAAAAGGACAAAAAAAGAAAAAAAGAAAGACGACGCGCAAGTTTTCAATGATGCAAACATGAGTTAGGCAGCTTAAAAGCATTGCTAGCTTACCTCGGCGAATTTCAATAAACTTCAAAAACATGACAATGTTTTAACAATCTAACAAATTAGAATCTTTATACCCAGGTTCCAATAAAATGCGCATGCAATTATAGGACTATGAACAACTCGCGTATTTCTGCATATACTTCAAGTAATTAATCGCGCATATTTTGTAGCTTTTAAATATATTTTCCAGCTACTTTTTGCTTAAGGAATTCGCATTAAACGTATATCATTAATTTACATTAATATACAAATTTTGATTAATTGTTCGTTTGTATACTTGCAAATTACAAAGATATACTTTTATTCCAGAAAATATATAGGTCCGAAATTACTCTAAATAAAAGATGCTAGAAGCTAATGCGATTAATTTTTAATCACAAGAAAATTTGCTGAATACGACGAATTATTTTTGATAGACGACACTAACCTTTTGTTTGTCCAGAAGATGCATGATTTCGTCGACATCACCGACGACCACTGATTGTTGTCGCAACATCTCTTCTTCGACCGTAAGCCAGTCACGTATCTGCAACGTAACCAAGCAAACAGTAATTATGACAATATATCACTTGTAAAGGTCGCAATAAATAAACGATACATAGCTGCAGTAGTAACGTAATTACAATATTAGAAGTAATTGCAGTTTTCTTGCGTAATAATACCTTTCTTATTGCACAAATATATTCGTTTGATGTAAAGAAATTTATCCTTTAATATGTATAAGCTTTTATTAAAAAGCTGTATAATACAATATAAAGAATAATATTAAAATGATATTACCTTAATAGAATAAATAAAATAGATAGAGAGAGAAGAGAAATAAATTTCAAGTAAATATAATTTTATTTCACAATAAGAGCAGCGTTAAATAAATTAACGTATCTTTGACCAATTCATAAATCGATATCCCATCTTGATGAATTAATTACAAATCAGCCATAGCAATTAACTTATATCCCTTAGCAAACGAGAATGTATCGGCGTCGGTGGGAGATATCTCCATCGTCCAAAAGTGGTTAATATCGGATGGAAAAGAGCTAGTGAAAAAGGGAAGGACGCAGGACCGGAATTGGGATATTTGCTGCCGGAAATTAGTAGGGAGTGTCCGTTCGTAAGTGGCCGACTTCGATTTACCTCGATATTCGCCAAGAGTCAAGAAGAGGCAAATGCTAAATGTACGGGGCGTGTCCTAAAACTTGCGTCAAATTTCCTGATTAGTCTCAAGTTAAAATTCTCGAAAAAAATTTTTTTCTGTGTTCACGGAACTGAGGTATTGATAATAGCCGAAGTAAACAAGTAAGTAAGTCGCGCGTGAAGCAACTTTTAAAGAGAATAATTCTCGATCACCGAAAAAGTCCACAACATAATTACTCTAAGTGAATTGAGCCGCTATTGTACAGCACGAGTGAGCGTTCAATTGCATCACAAATTTACATTTTCCAACAGTCATTACCGGCGAACGGTTTTTCCTTGTAAATGGCTCTATTGGTGCGTTTAATTAAATATCAAGGCAAGTTGCGTAATCGCATTTCCATTGGAACTACGAGTTGTAAAGCCAATAATACATTTAAAAGCTAACGCACGCGCGCGTAACGCTTCGCAGGGCACCGGAAATATCTCCGCTGGAATTTTAGCGTACTTGGTCGTCGTGCTCTAGTCGAAAACTTTACAAGATCGTGACGGCCGAAAAAAAATGTTTATGGCAAACAACGTATTGAAAAAAAAAACCGCCCTGAAATCTTCGACCCAACGCCGACTGATCGATCGGTCGGCGACGCAACAGCAAGCGTGCAAGAAGCCTAAACTAGCATTCGACGAGGATTGCCCCGGATCGCAAACGTGGAACTTTCGAGGGAGTCGATAAATCGCGGAAGAGATAAACCGTAGTGCTACAGGAAATTAAGGTCTCGCTCGGTCCGGCAACCCCCGGAGTCTGCCACCTAGACTAAGCTCCTGGGCTCGTTCCGCCTTTCACCCACCCTTGTCCGACTCGAAGCGGCCTTGATTAAGTGCCCGTTGTCGAAGAATGATCATATCCCTCGTGTTTTCCGCCTCAAAATGGACACCGTAGAGCCATATTGTGTACATTTTCATATAACCTATGGTTGAACCGTTTCCCTTAAGAGCGGATGGCGTAAATATAGTATTAAAAATCCTTCTAAGATCAATATACTACGTTGATGTTTACCAGAATTTTAACGAAATTCATTACCGTCTGAAATCATAGCTGTATAATTTTGATAATATGTGAGTCACTCAGAGACAGAAAAGCTAAAAATGTTTAATACATAAAATTAAAAACAATTGTTTCTTTCGTTCAATTAACGAGAAGTGTGTAAAATGTGCGTTCTTTATTAGATTTTTAAAAAAAGTTGATAGAAAATGATCTTAATGTAAGTCTTAATATTTTCTCACTTGGTGCAAAGAAGCTTATTTAATCCTTCTGATTTTTTATTTTTGGACAATTTAAAAATCTAGCTTTCTCGCTGAAATAAAACTGCAAAATTTTACAAACAGAGTCGCGCAAATAAATTACAGAAGTGTACGTCTATTACATGACTTCCACTATTTGTATCCATCACAATCCAAAACTTACATATATTAGGTACCTACTCGTTGTACTCATCGGAAATCATGAGACGAAGGGTCTAAGAGTTTAACGATCGATTTCAACACCCGAGTGATAAAAAGACACGATAAAGCTAACATCTCTTCGAAAATCAACTGTGTTAAAAACGATGCTTGGTAACGACCGAACCACGCGACAGTATTATATTTTTATTATGACAAATGTCGGGCTTTAATCATAGAACACGTAAAAAATACTTTCTTAGTACGCAACTAACTGCTCTTAACATAACAGTTAAAAACGTATTACAACTATTAATCTGCAAAATTTATATATGTATATATTCCATAATATATTTTATAAGAAGCAATTCCAAATAATATTGTTTCGAAATGACAATAAATACGAAAAAGTTAGCGCAGGTATACTTTGCACAAAGTTTCTCAATTGTCATCTTATAACTTCTTGACGCATTGAACGGTTCATTGGACAAACTACTTTATCCTTTTATCACCTCCCTTTCGATCAAGACCTTTATTATTATTGCTCAGTATTTGAAAATAGAAAATAATATATCTTTAATAAGAATGTAGAATTTTAATTAAAATGCTAAAAGAACTTAAAAAAATATTTAAAACAATATTTTTTTTAATTTTTGAGCAAGCAACTTTTCTTTATGTATTCTTGTTATATACTTGTGTTTTACATATTAGGAATTTCATACTAATGTCAAAATTTTGATGATTCGCGAAAAAAATATATATGCATAGATGCAAATCTCTTTCCAATAATTAATCCAATATTAATGTAATTATGAGAACTTGGAGGTATTCTTACATTATCAGTTACTCATAATATATGATGACGGTGGAAAACAACGTCTGCTATATCACTATTTTATGCAAAATACGTACGTAAGCTCAAATTAGACTTACATATTTTATCGCAGAGCGAAATATGACGAGCAAGAATCCAATAAGCCGAATACCGCAAAGAGACTCGGTTCCAAATTATTGGAGTGCCACGGAAACGCGAACATGGGAATTCATGTATAGAGAAGCGTACACTAACACCGCGTTCGGGGAAGTTTCAAATATGAAATTTGCTCTACATACGACGAAAATTCGCATTATCGTGCTTGACCTTTTCTTACCCATGTTAACTTTTAGTCCCATTATTCAGAGGGAAGGAATATTCATCAGTTGAACGAGAAACTAAAATACAATGTAAGATAAATTAATATCAATTACTTCACTGCTATAGAATCGGAAGAGAAACTTAATCAAGAAAACGGAGTATTATTATGCATATAAAGTTTGTGCAGTTTCAAATAGATAAATAGTACATTTGAAATGCAACCTTCATTTAATATTACATGTTGGATTATAACATTTCAGTTGAGAAGATATCGTCTTCGATCAGGTTAAATCTTGACAACCTACTAATAATATTTCTGTAAATTTTTTCTCAACTTGGCAAACACCTCGATAATCGATTTAACGTTAAATAAGCCATTCGTTAAATCACCGTACAGAATTTATTGCGAAAAATATCATCTCGGCAGTTTGTCAAATTAGAAAACAATATACAAAATTTATGCAGAAATATTATTGTTATCCAGTCAAAATCAATTCTGCCAGATCGGAGGTATCTTCTCTATTTAATTGTGAGATTCATATCCATCTAATTTCACTTGTCAGTATAACATTTCAAATTTTTCCTCGCCTTATTTCTCCTCTACAAACATTTATGTTCCCAACAAATTGCGCAATTTTCTTAGGATAATATGTAGTACTAAACGATCCATGCAATCAAATAGATCCCCAGCTCAAAATAGATATCCCTAAATTCACGTCGGATATCCCAGATAAATTACACGCGATACATCACCTATAAGTATTGTACAAATGTTTCATCATTGACTAACATCACTGACTTGACTAAGATAACTGTTGTTTGCACGCAACAAACTCCAAGCCTCGGTAGCTACGTTGATCTACGTGATCAGCGTTTTATGCGTAAATATTAATATCCTAGGGATTCACCGAAGAATATCCTTTTGATTCGTATATAACAGGCAGTAAGTATGCGTAAAATAAAAAGTGGTCTATCGTCATGAGCCAAAATAGAATTTCATTGGCAACTTGATTCCTGCTCAAGCCTCGTTACCTCGAGGCCTCTCGGCGCTTTATGCAAACAGCACAATACTTGTCAGTGCGACAGCGTAGCCGGAAATAGAAGCCCGGAGATAGCTATTATGGCGTTGGACTGCCTGGAGTCTGACTGTTGACTCGGCAAATAGGAAAAGCGCACTGGAACCTATGCAATGTTTGCTGAGACGTTGGTAAAAATTATCTGGACGATAGGCGGAGGTAGTACGTGTTACCGGACAATATTTGCAAGTGTCGTAATTAACCATTAACCGACTAATTGTTCACTTCCTCTCTTTCTATCGTGATACGAATAAATCTGTCGAAATTAAGCTAAATATAATACAATTAAATATTTAATTACATAATAAATTCCGGCATAAAAATATTTTATAATTATAATATAAATGTAGCCTCGGTTTCTTCTAACACAGAAGAAGCAGGTTATGCGAACTCAAAAATATTTCACCTTTACAAAGTGAAATATAAAGAAAAATTGTAATGCCACGTTGACACGCGCAGAAAAATAAAAACTAAACATGATAGTTCGGGGTCACAAAAGTTCAAAGAGAATAAATTCTTGAAAAACAGTTAGAAAAGACCGCGCCACAAGCTCAGCATAAGTAAAAAGGCCTGAGAATTTTACGACAACCTGCACGATTATACGCGTTTATGTCCTGCCACGCTTTAACAAAAAGAACAGTTTTAACACAGATGATTAACTAAAATAATAAAAAGTAAAACTAAGGCAATGGGTAGAAAGAATAGATATGCTTCGTTAAACAATATTATATCGTAACGAACAAGGTATATTCAAATTTAAAAGCCTGCAGAATAGAAGGAAGACGAATGGCGGTACGAATCAAAAGGATATTCTTCGGTGAATCCCAGGATATTAACATTTACGCATAAAACGCTGATCACGTAGATCAACGTAGCTACCGCGCTTACTCAAACCGAATTAAACTTACTGCGTCGGCCAAGTGCGCCCTTAAATTAAATTTCCATCCTATAGAGGACGATAAATTTCCGCTCTGCCAAATCATGAAGGGGGCATCCGGTGTGGACATAAAAGTGGGATTTGACTTAATTTATTTTACTATATTTCCTAGATTGTACGCCCAAGCTATGCCCGTGACAAAAGAATAGCACCAGGTACGGGGAGTGAATGAGGATCAGCACGGCGTGAAGGGAGAGAAACCGGCGGAGTAATTCGATAAAATTGACCGAGTTATACGCCTGCATGAACATCGACCCTCTCCCTCCGTCTACTGTCCACCGTCGTCACACAAATCTAATTCCTATCCCTGATAACCGAACTCGTGCCACCAATTGCAGAATATTCAGCCGGAATTACATTTCTTTCGAAATTTGCCGTCGCGTCGTAACCAGATCGCGATCGAAGGAGAATGCGGACCAGAAGTCGAGGCCGAGATCCCATCAAGCATGCTGACGCGATAAGAAGTTATTGCTGAGGCAGCATCAACAATAGGTAAGCCCTCAAGACTCCATCTGCAATTCCGGCGATGACTCTCTTCGATCTCGATGAAGCTATTACTGTGCATCCCGCACATCTTTCGCTCACGTAAAAAGTTTATTAGAGTTTATGCTCGGAAATATTGCCGACGATAAAAGACTATACGAACAATTTTTTCTATGTGAATTAATGAAAGAAACGACAAACGATGAAATGATAATTAAATCACACGGTAAGAAAGTTGAAAACAATATGCGCGGACTTCAAAGGCGGATGTTCAAAGATGTTATACAGGCGAGATTCAGTAACTTATATAATTAGTATGCACTTGGCGAAATCGGCGAGGCGCGAAGGCGTGATGAGAGAAGACTTTTATTACAGCAAATTTCTGACAAAACGGAAGAGTAGAAGTAAAATTGCCCGAAAGGACAATATTCTTAAAAGCCACAGAAACGTTGGTTGTTCGCAAAGTTAAAATGTCACGCACGAAGCACCGTCCAATTACTGTATGACAGTTTGACATCTATCTAGAAAAAAAGAAAAATATCCCCCCTATTTTCGTATTCTCACTACTTCGCCACGGATTTATATGTAATTTATGAGGAGCCGTGTTCCAGAGAGAACGGAACGAAGTGTGGTAACAAAGTTTGTTGCCGCTTTATAAAGGCCGCTGCGCATAAACGAAAACGAAATAGGAGCGTGAATAAAGCCAACTTTTAGTATTAATTTTTACGGAAACTCAATGACATTCTTTTCTATAATGTTTTCTGCTATTTCAAATGGCTTCCTCGTCCGCAAGCGAACAAATTCTACGTAATATCGCACACATTTATCGATTACAGCACTGACATATCAATGTTAAGACGGAACGTGTACGATATATTATGAGAGATATCGACCAGATACATCGCTCTACTCTGAATACTAATTGTGGAAAGCGGATCCAATTTAGCCGACACCTTGATAACTAAGTTAAGACTCCTCGCCCGTGAGGGACACGCTACAATACTGACATGCACACGGAATAGAATATCGCAATATGCTCGTGAGCTTAACGCAATCCACAATAGCGTTTTAATTTTACGTTTACAAAGGAAACGCTTTTCCATCAGAGATAACAGGTATGTTCCTTTTGGCCGCATTCTTTCTCCTTCGTTCCTTCTACAAAGCACGCGCGTGTATCTGTTTTCCTGAATTTAAATAGACGGACAGTCTGAAAAAGCGTAGGTAAAGGGAAAAGGATCTAATATCGTGCTCGTTAAAGTTCAACAGTGACGCGATATAATTAAATGTACGAATATGATGCAGCTGGATATGTGTATTTTATATCGATTTGGCAATGCGTTATGGCATCCTGTCCCATTTTCGTGTCTAATAAAAGCAGTTTCAACGATATGCAAGCCGAAACCGGACTGCGTTTCAATATATGTACCAAAAAAATACATAAAATTCCCCTTCTGACCGTCAGCCAGACGAATTTTTGAAAAATATATACGATCTACCACGTACAAAATCGTTTAGCATATTTTTCGTCGACATTCGCTCGGAGACGTGCTACCTTACTATCAGAATCCAGGAACGCGGCGTTACGTTGCCATATTCTCGTCAGTCTCTCGCCGCGTTCGCGTAATTTATGCGCTTTAATTAGCCGAGATGCCCGAGGACAGGCAAGCTCTTGCCGTTATCGTAGCTCCGCCATTTTCGGCGACGCGAGAAAATGACGGAAATTCACATTGCGACCTTCACTCGCGTTCTGCTCGGAGAAAGATATCTTATAGAACGGGCCACGCATTTAAATTGCAAGGGAAAAGAATCAAAATGAATCGAGCCCGAGCGAAGAATAAATCGCGAAACGTTCGAGGACCCTTCAGTGGCAACTTTTCCATCCCCTCGTAGCAACACCGGAGTAATCAAATCGATATCTTCCAATCGGATTCCGAAGATAACCGACCGTTAATTATTATCTGCTATTGGAGCTTCTTCCCCGGAGGCATAATAGTATCAGTTTATCGCATTGTTAACTTTTTCGATACACGTTCCATGTGTAAAAGACAAATATAAAAAAGCAAATTGTTTCCTCAACATAAAACTTTGCTTGCAGACTACCATGATTTGCAGCTCTTCGACTTGCAACGTCAAGTTGCTGTAAAGATACCAGAATCTCAGAGACAAAAACTAATCTTACACAATTGAAGATCATATAAAAATGGCTGTAGCCTTTCATTATAATAAATATTTTCAGATTAAATTGCGCAAGTGCAGAATAACATTAATCTATATGTCACAAGATAATTATATGTTTAAATCTCTATTGTTAGAGAATCCAAATAAAGTAGCAGGCTATACGGTATATACTGGATGTCGAATATATTTCGTTTCTTTGCGTGTACTTTTCGGCTACTATTGTCCCGGCAGTTTCACGCACGCGTATAAGTGAGCGAGCTTACCTGAAGCACTGATTTATCGAGTCCCGCGACGAGGGCGGAAGCTGAGGTAGAGGGTGAAGGTGAAGACGAAGCCGAGGAGACGGAAGCGGAGGGGCTGCTAGTCGCTACGGGGGTCGACGGTGACGAGGGGGCGGGAGAGGGTGACAGCCCCCGAGAGCCCCCTGCAGCTGCACCCGCCGCCCCCGGTGCTGCGGTGCCTACACTCCTTTCCACTTCTGTAACAGGGAAACAAAACCATATCTCCATTAGAGCGTGGCGTCGTGTCGTAAAAGTCGGCAGGCCGTATCTCCTGCGGCCGCCTGCCGACGTGACGAAAATTGATGCGCTCTCGGTGCATTGAGAAGCAAAGCGAATATTCAGACGTCCGTTTTAGCGGCGCTTCCGCGCCGCCCCATACATACATCGAATTATCGATCATTCGAGCTTATCGGCGATAACGATTGTCACGAGTCACGCACGATTGAAAAGCTGCACACGGCTACACGACAGATCAGAGATCTCTCACTTGCTGCATTTCCAATTGCATTTACAGCTAACACTTTGTCGAAAACACCATATGCATCTCAGATAACGAATGTTCCGGTATTATTCTCAAAATTTTCGTTATTTATCATTTCTAACCGATGCCCTATTTTACGAGAGAAAGAATAAACGGTTTTGTGAATATACTGAGGCTCGCCATACATGTATAGAGGAAAGTCCTCTGTTATGAGATAGAATTCTAATGTAAAATAATAGCAGGTTTTCAACACTTAAATTCAATCACAAATCTTTTTCGCAACGATTACACTATCTAACAATGAATTTTCCACTAAACAGATTTCGCTCCAGGGGCAATAAATTTGTGGTGGAACCAATAGACGATGCCTATTAATTTAGCAGAAACCCCGTTATCTCATATTAGGATCCTATCTCGTAATAGAGACTTTTCTCTATATATATTACATTTTTATATATAAAGTATTGAATCAAGAAAATATTTGTCGATTCAACTATATGCTGCGGTCACGGGCTGTCAAACAAATATTAGTTAATTCACATAAACATTTATTAATTAAAACAAATATATATTTTAATAAATTATGTATGTTCAATTGAAAACATACATATGTTCACTGAAAAAAATTTCTGGTTGAATATGGACGAATCAGATAATTCCTTTAGGATTTACCAGAATTCCTTTAGGATTTACCAGAATTTCTGTAGGATTACAGGAATTCTGGTAAATCCTAAAGGAATTCTGGTAAATCCTAAAGGAATTATCTTTCGTCCATATTCAACCAGAAATTTTTTTCAGTGTTCGAATTAAAGAAATACTGCCAACTAAACATATTTAGTAATATCGACAATTTTTTTCCTCGGTGTACAAATGCATCTAACTTTTGTTACATGTGAGAAAAAGTGTAACAATAAAGAACGGTATACCAATAATTCAATAACGTAGCCGCTAAAGAAGAGATTTCTCTTTGCATACGACGTTCCTTACGTTTTTCGTGAAAACTAGTAATTTTCCGGTCGATCCACTGTCGTTGTGTTCTTTCTCACGTGCGGTGACACAATAAAACGAGAAAGGATAATTCGCTGGGACGGGGGAGGGGGAAGAAAGATAGAAAGAAAGAACCGGAGCAAAATGGTTTCGAGGCACGTACCGAAGGATGCACGGTCAATTCATTGAATAGGGAAGTAACTTTCATAGTTTATAAGTTTACCCGCTTCACATCCTACCGGATCGAGTTGGAGCGAGATCATGGCGGATCCCAGGTGAACTCTACGCAGGGTCGTCGTCGAAGACGAGCTTAATGCCCGTCTCTAATGTAATTGAAAACTTTCGTAAACGCTTTTTCTACCCCTCGATTTGTAATCCTCCTCTACCAGCGTTTAAGCGCTACTTAAAAACGCGTTGCGCCAATCAGTAATGAAACCCTGTTTCTGTTCTTCTATGTATGTTATAAATTCCACTAGTTTCACATTAAAAAAAACTATAAATAAATTAAATAGTTTGCAATTATTTGAAATAATACTTTGTATCAAATTGTTGCACCCGCTACAATAATGTAATCACAATTAAAGATGTTTATTACATCAATTTGCAATAATTAATATTAATTGAATTCATTAAAATTTCTGCGGTTATCTGAAATTACAATATTAAAATTGAAAATATACTTTATACTGTCGTGATATGTTTTAAGATAAATGAACGTTGATCGTGTGATTATACTTGTGCTCGGTAAAGTGTGCTTGTAAAATACATCAAATACACTTGAATTAATCAGTAATTGGTCATATAATATACCCCTATTGTAGCACGTTCATACAGCACACGTGTTTATCATTTAGCAAACTAAAGAGGAAACTTTGATAATTTTACTCGGTGTTATTAAGCGGGAACATTGTCATGCGAAAGAGATAAAGCTAATTCGATCAGCGCATGGTAAAAATTAAATATTATTCTCTCTGTGGATGCAATAATTCAAAAGAAAAATTGAATTGTAAATCATATAATCACCGAAAATGTCAGCTAAACGAGGAATTACTAGTAATATTTGTACTTCACCTAGCATTAACATTTGAACATTAATATTTTCACAATAAATCGTAAACGGATCGTAACTCGGGGATTGCCTGCAAAGATCATAACTTATGCACGAAACCGTCGGTCCAGTTTTACAGAAGCTATTATATTTTTACTCCCGCACTTTTCCACCCCGGTTAGCACCGACGAGCATTATCTTAACAACTGGTCCTGTCCCCGTTTTATTGCTGAATTTCGCTGCACCATCTAAAACCGAGGCAAAGAGGAAAAAAAGTAGGGAAACACTGGGGGAGATGAAGGGAAAGCAGGGAGAAGCAAACGATGGAGCGACGAGCAGACAGCGTTCGGTACGAGAGGAGGCAGTTTACCCGTGTAATTACTCACAAACCGCGAGACTTCCGCCCAATGAAGAAATATTTCTCTGCCTCCAGCGATATTTCTCAACGCGCTCGGTGAACTTGGAGAACGAGCTGTATATGCATGCGTCGAGCACTTTGTCGCCGGGATCGCGGAAAATCAGGGGGGCAAACGACCCCGGCTAATTCAAAGGGGTCGCAGTTATGCAAACGTACTGCGAAACATTTGCCGTGAAATCTCAAGGATACCGTCCGCCTTCGGAGAACTAAAATTTCTACACGTTCCATCTCGTCCACTCGCGCAAATTGTGTGCATACAATTTGCAAAGTTGAGAACCGTACAAATCTCCACAGAAGCAGCCGAACTTCCACGGAGGAGATAGCACCAATTTAAAGACTGCCCTAGGTAATTTTGCGTCCGACAAATGGAACTAATAAAATTCGTGTTGCTCAAACGTAAAGTAAGTGTAAAATATTCAAATCGTTGATAAAATGTAGAATAAAAGTAGATGGAACGTAGAACAATAAAATCTGTCAAATCTTACACGTATTGGCATTGCTTAAAGTAACTTTAGCTTTACTCTTTTGTATATTTTATATATATGTAATTAAAACAAAATTTTATATTAGTATTACATGATTTAAAAAAATTTTTTACATTGCTATATATAATTTTTTAAAAATTATTATTCTGTTAGACAATTGCTCTCGAACAATTTCAAGGCGTTACTGTCACTGCGCAAAAAAAATGAAACAATTTAAATAACAAGCGCTCGAATAAATACAGTTGCGAGGGAGAATAATATATCAAAGGTGGGAAATTTACTGTACATGTCGCATTAGCATACTAAATAATCGCACGCCATATGGTGAATATATGAGTGCGCATATGTAAGCCTGAATTTCGCGAGAGAAGAGAAGGAACTTAATATAGATAAGACACACAGACCTCGGTGCATAAACCACAGAGCGTTCGTAAAGTTCTGTCATAAGTCGTCGCAACTTCTAAGCCCTATACACGCCGGAGTAACATAGTCTCCATGGCGGTCGGATGAGTTACGATACACGCTAAATACATAATAAGCATGACGGCGCATACCCGGTCTCGCTTGCTTCTGTCCTATCAGATTATGGTAAGCAGGAGCGAAATCCGACTAGTCGAGAGAATTGATCTACGCGAACTTCATGCAAACTTCCTCGCAGGTGCTATCGAAAGATACAAATGATGATACATGCTGATTCTGCACAAAACGCGCGCACTTTTTCCTCTTCTCTCAAACTTTCACATGTCAGATAGCCATCTCGCGGCCCGTGCAAAATATGATAAATGAATTTGTGCTCGGACATAACATTGCTTTTATACATTTTATAATCCTAACTTGTTCGTAAATATTTTTTTTTTTGCGCACATCATACGTCGACTCAAGCTTTGACGTAAGAATGAAATATGACGATATTGTCTTATTTTTATAAGCTGTCAAAATACAGAATCAAATAGTTTGTACAATGAAGATACCAGCACCAGAAACGTACGATTTTATAGATTGTCTTTAAAGAGTAGAATATTTTTTCTCTATCCTATATTTTCAAAGTTCAAAAGACGGATCGTTTATTCTCTTATTAATTTAGAGAGGGTAACGCAAATGATGCTTCCTGATGCCGCACGGCGTCAAGGAAAATGGTCCTTGAAGAGGACATTCATAACATTTGTCGCTGCAGCAGCTGCTAGGAGCGAGTTATTACTCCCGTAACAACGGCAACGGGGGTGGACCATTTTCGGTGCCGCGCGACGAGTATGAATCACATGGTTACCGATTTTCCAATATTCCCAACGCATATCAAAAGTAAGGAAGCATCTGTGCCGATCGGCCATGGCAATTAATGCAATTCAGACATAACAAAATTATCAGACATAACAAAGTCGTTAATTTTTGCATTCAGAAGCAACGTGCGTTGCAATTAACAAGAACGAATATACGGAACATGTGTGCGCGAAAATTCGAAAGGAGCAACAATATCGTCAGAAGCTCATTAAAAATGAAATGTTTAATGAAGTGTACGAGATAATAAACGATGTGCGCGCGGGGACGCGAGAATCAGACGATAAATCTTTGGGCGTGACAGTGATGTCTTATCGAAAAAAGCTTTATACGCGATCCGACAAGATGAAAAACTATTTCTTCTCGATTATGAAGTTAGCAACATATCGATTGAGTAGATCGCTACAAATCTCGTAGCAAGTTTATTCAACTTTCACCAGAATGGAAGTGCAATTTTGCTCTGGTCAATGTGGTTAAGCCAGATCTGAATAGCTTAACGAGAT